ACATTTAGCACATTCAGCACAAAACATGTAGGAAAATCAGATACAATTAAATACAACAATTTATCTAAGCTCGAATTCTGAACCCTGAACCAGAGATTCTGGGTTGAGTTCTCCAGCAGAGTCGCCAGAGCTGTCACACCTCCTTTTTACCTACACCCCGCAAAGGGCATGAATGAGTTTTTCCATTTAAAAGACAATCGAAACGAGATTTAATTATTAATTATTCAGAGTCGCTACTTGGGAGATTAATGGTGTCCCAAGTCACTGGTTGAATCCCGAACCAAGAAAATTTATGACTCTATTAACAGTCCGCGAACCAGAAATCCGGGTAAGGAATTCTGTTAACCCGGGAGAAGGTGTTAGGCATTCCTGAGCTCCGTGGTTCTAGCACGGTCGCTTAACTGTTGTATTTGATTTTATCTGATTTTAATACACGTTATAGCTTATGTGCCTTTTAATTTTAAGCCGCTTTTATTATTATTATTATTATTATTTTTAATAAGAATTGCAACGTTGTGAAAACGTGTCTCGGGCCACGTCGCAATCAATGCACCCGTGATTGTCAACACATTTCGACTTCGTCGAGATTTGGATTTGGGTCGCATCAATGAGCACCCGAGTTTAAGAAGGTAATTTAATTAAAACCGCGCCTAAAGATTCTGACATAATATTATTTTGGGGAAGGCCGTGAAGTTCGCTAAATGGCACTCCCAAATTCTAATCATTTTAATAATCATTTATTGAGGGCCCCACATTTATTTATTTTTGTTCGGTGATGCTCGTCTCGATTTGTGAACCTCTTTTCTATCATTATTTATTTTATAAGAATTACGATGTCGTGAAAACGCATTTCGAACCACGTCGCAATCAATGCACCCGCGGTTGTCAACACATTTCGACTTCGTCGAAGTTTGGATTCGGGTCACATAAATGCACACCCGAGTTTTAAAATTCAAGCATCACAACTACGTCACGGGAACCGTACCCGTAGCTATGACAATTAAGCAAATGGACATAAAATTAAATAAAACTTGTTTCATACTTATGTACAACTTCGTTTCATTTGGGAGCTCAGTCATATGGCAATTCAACTTGTTACTTCTCCGCCTGATGCCATAGGCATTTACAGAGAATGGGATATAACTATGTATTATAAGCGATACAAATAAGCAACATAAGATGAAATAAACGAAAAGGTCGATACTCTGCACTGCAAAAGATATTACTGTCAAACTTGGTTAAGCGCTTGAAAGCCACAAGGTTCAATGCAAACGAAAATGGGCACTAAGCCAGCGTACAAAAGTATCTATTATGAAGGAAACTTGCGAACCTAACAGGACAGTTGATTTCCTTTAACTCCAACATGGTATTTTCACCAATGACAAAATGACAGCTTTAACTTTTTTCATTCTTGTCAAAATGAAAGTATTCTCAATGCTCCACACTCATGCATATATCTAGTGTATTAAGATGTACGCTATGTATGGACTGCGTATTTACAACTCCACTATTTGGGCAAACCAAAAGAATGTCAATTGAAACTTCCTTATGCCAAGACCTCTGCCTTTAAAACAAGCTCTAGTTCCTCTGTTACGACATAATTTCAACACATCAAACCCATATCTTATACTATCAACAAACTATATTTTTCGAACATATTACTACTAATTATCTTTGCATTTTTTTTTTCAACTAACACCCAAGAGAGACAAAACCAAATCATATATATTTAAAAAAAAATATTTCCTCAGACAGATACGCAAAATATTCAACACTTAAGATCTAAAGATTGCATCAGGGAGAAAACGGCCCTGCAATTGCATATTCATACTGAGGCTAATTCAAACAAATAAATCCAAACATTTCATGCAACAGAGAATGACAAAGTTGACGGAAGTACACTATTAAGCACAACAGAGTACGAGAAATTGAGGAACCAAACCTCAAAAGTGAATCAGAATATTAATGGCGAGGTAGCGCTGAGCTCAAAAACGTGACGAACCATGGACGAACCTCGACGCACCGGACCTCGACGGACCTCTGACCGGAAACGGAATTACGTCCAGGCCTCTAGCTCGCCGGAACTGCGACAACATGCAACAACAGCAGTAGCTGCTCGTGGGTGTCGCTGCTTAGGATTCGATAGGGGTTCTTCGATACTCTTTTTTTTGATTTTTTGTTGAGGAAGGTGTTGGTTAAGGTGAGGGCTGAAGTTCAATGGTCGTTTGGGTGGGGGGATGTGAAGGATACGATTCGAGGGGTGGGTCGTTCTGCGCGCAGCTTTTCTTAGCTTTCTTTTTCCTTTATGCGCAGCTTTTGCTGTTTCTTTTTGTCGTTCTCCTCCCTCTCTATTTGTGCTGATCCCCCCTTTAGTTTTAGGCTTTGTTTAATATATATAGGTCTAGGTTAGTGGTAGGGTTTTAGGTTAAGGGGTATGGGCCTAGGAATTATGGGCTTGGCAATTGTGGGCTAGGTCCAAAATTAGGCCCAAAGATAGGTTGCTTGAGCCCAAGCTTTATTCTTTTGCCGCGAATGAGATTAAAAATACGCGCCCATTTATTAATTATTCCTACTATTTAAATAATTATTACAATAAAACTAACCATTAAACAAATCTATTTTTGGTATTTTCAAAATATCATATTAAAATAAAAATACGATACTATTGTTGTATATATTTTTAAGATTTCTTTTTTTTTTAATTAAAAATGACTACAAAACATAAATGAACCTATTTTTATGATTTTGTTTTCTTGCAATAAAATAGAGTAAAAGAGTCAAAATTACTTAAAATATCTGTATTCTGCCTAAATTAAATATTTTACGCTAATATATAAAAGATCTTGGGGAGGGTAAAAAATCACAACAATCTTGCGCGGTAGAAGACCCCAAAATGAAATTTTCTACCACCATTATTGAAACCATTTTGGTGGTGGTGCATTTTTGTGAATACTTTGGTGATGAAAAGGAGTGGAGCAGTAGGGTCCCGTCGTTCACAGGACAGAAATTGTAACCCACCTTGAAGAAGAAAACAAAAATCTAAAACGAAAATAGAAACAGAAAAAATAAATAAAAAATTAACGTGTAAAAATAAAAGAGTAGCGCGTAAGTTGCACTGCCTTTGCTTTATCTGGTTTTGGTCTCTCGGGATGGTATTAACACCACTTATAACTTGTTAAAGGAGGTATTACGACCCTTGCAGACTTAAAGTGTCTCTTTGAAAAAAAGCTCATAGCTGAAGGGATTCTTATGTATTCTCCCTGTTTAAAACATAAATTAAGGTGTCATGCATCATCTTCTCTACTTATGTCTAATGCTGTCCAACGGGACGGGACGATATTTAGTCGGGACAATGGCAGGATGGGTCTAAACGGGATGAAATGGTAGGCCCATCCCATCCCGCTAACAAATGGAATGGGGCGGGAGGCCTTAAGTGGACCGTTTTTTTAAAAGAAAAATTTAATTATTTATGCATTAAGTTTGCAACGGCTAATTTTTTGACAATGACTAAGTTTTTAAAGTTTTCAACGGCTAATTTTTTGACTTATTTAATAAACTTAAAATTTAATAAAGTATAAGGAAATTAGGAAGCTAAGTAAAGAATTATAAAAAATTAAAATAAAAGACTTGTAATGAAATATTTTAGTAATTATGATAGAGCTGTAATTTATTTAATATAATTTCAAGCCATTAAGTAACTAAGTAAGAGTGTAAGACAATTCATAAAAAAATTCAAGGCTTAGAGCCTTTTATTTTATTAATAGAATTTTCAAATTTCACATACAAATATAATTCTTTTGAGCAACATCTAATCTAAGCATCCACCTTTAGGAAGGGTTTTGTTTGAACTACGCCTCTTAGTAGCCAATTACAAATTATCATATTAATATTTGTAAGCTTCTATATAGCTTCGTTGTAACTTATCTATAATTTCTCTAGGACATTGTTCTGGAATTGGCAATGTTGATTGATGTCCCATAGTTCCATGCCGTCATCGCTCCCACTGCTAAGTATCTCATTGTATTCTTCTTCTTCCCTAGTGGTTAACCTTTCAAAACCAAGATTTCTTCTTTCTGAATTAATCCAATCTCTGAATAATACTGCAATCTCTAGGTTGCCCTCCACTAATGAATGTCTATGATTTTTGATTTGAAATCTTGCGCGCTAAAAGCACTCTCCGATACTGATGATGCATGAATAGCCAAGATATCTTGGGCCATTATTGAAAGTGTTGGAAAAACCTTACCACGATCCCTCCACCATGCCAAAAGTTGTTTGTTTCCTTCTTCGTCTTTAATACTTTTCAATCCTTGATTAATATAAGAATTAAGTTCATCATAAAAAAAAATTTAAAAAAACATGCGGCACAGACGGGATAGGTGGAGCGGGACGGGACTGAACGGGATAAATGGGACGGAATGGGCATCTCGTCCCATCCCGTGTACCGTTTATCATGGGCCTGTCCCGTTGGACAACCTTACTTATGTCTGTTTCCTCCACCCTATAGAAAATATATAAATGATTAATCATAGTACTGCTAGCAAAAGGATAATAAAGAAGCAATGTCTCCAATAGAGGTTTCTATCATCACTCACTCCATAGTAATAGTAGTACTACTAGACATAGTGTAGCAATTAGTGCACTTTTTTTTGGTAATCCGCTAGGCAAGTGCCTAGGGCTAGTTTTTTTATTAATAACAAAAAAGAAAAATACAACAATTAGGAAAAGTAGAAATAAGGGGGGACAATAGCACTGGTATTGTTACCCATATAACACAAATCGGGCTAAACCTTACCTTACTAATCCTATTGAGGTATAAAATAGCCTCATTAGCAAGCATGTAAAAAGAAAGAACTAGCTACAATCAAATATTCAGTGATCACCACAGAGTTTATAACATATTATGTGATGATATTACAAATCAGAATACTAACATAATGGTAGAATAAAATGATGAAGGAATTAAAATGTTGTCCCTTCTTGTCCAAACTTGTAATTTCTTCAATTTGTAATTCTTTTTCATCACACTCCCAATTCTTTAAGAAGTATTCAAAATTCATGATTTCTTTTTAGAACGATTGGACCTTGTTGATGTAGTTGGGGCGACCTGCTTTTGTTTGGCATTTCTCATTGGAGGTCGCCTAACATTTAAAAAATCACTAACCTTGTCGTCCCAACTATTTTTCCTTGTATGAGTCTTTTTACCTTTG